TATTCCTACAGGCTGTTAAAATTATATTGTAACTACTAGATTAAGATTACTGACATAAGGGCTACTCCTATTAATATTTCTCTGCTATAACATACTACTGATGATAATACTTCAATTTGTTCCCTAACTACTTTGCTTTCGTATTATTAAATTCTACACTGATACCATATATAAATTGTATAACATATTGCTACAGAAACAAGTCTCTGCCATGAAAATCAAGTGTGCTACTTGTTTCTTCCTCAGTGTCGAACGACACTCTCTACCAACAACACCCAGTGCCGAACGGCACTCATCTCTTTCCCATCGTCACACTTCCATCCAACTTCCCCTGGCGATCGACATCCAATTCCAATAACAACAACAACAACCTGCCGATCGTCATGCCCATTCTACATCTTCCTACTTCTCCAATTTCATTTCATTCACAGAACCAACGTATAACAATTCACATACTAACCAACGTATAATCACATGAACATGAAACTTCACCAATAATCAACACTAATTAATTCCTAACGTCAATTGCCATAAACAAACACAAACAACAATAAATTCACACCCTAAATCCCTACATATAACATATCATATGCCCCATTATAGGATAAGAAACTACACCATTACCTCGGATTGATTTGATGACAACTCTATGTATCTCCGATTTGAATCTCCTCTTAGCCTCTTGGTTCAACTTCACGTAGCTCTCTTCTTCTCCAAAAACCCTATTTTCCTCTTTCTCTTCTCCTTCCTGATAACACTGACTCTCTTCCTTTTTCTTATTTTCTAATAATAATATATATTATTCTATTAATCTAAATAATAGTGTTTCTCTTAGTGGACCTACATACACACCCCACTATTACTACTATCACAACATAAGCCCAATTAAATAAATAGTCACATAATATAATCTAATATTATTTCCAATAATATTCTTCAACTATGATCGATCCACACTTTAAATAAAACTAACTTGCAAATAATATTCTAATAATAGTTCTTCGACTAAACCGTCTAATTTATCCGACTATCATCTTACCGCTCAACTCAACATATTTATCCAATTGTGCTTCTTAGAATAATACTGATAATTCTCAACTTCGACAATTTCCAATAACTAAATCCCTTAATTAATTTAATTAAATAATTAATTAAATTCGGGGCATTACACTAATCACGGTTATACGATGACCCACGCCCGTCCCGTTTACATCCAAAGATAGAATTACTTACCAAATCAATGGTAAGATAATAATGTCAAAGGAAAGAGGAAATGAACATGAAAGACTTTTGAGTAGGTAGAATGTTCCTAATTACTTGCTCAATTTCAAAACAAAACATCCTTGTTATTTTTAAAACAAACACCAGCACTTTCAAAAACACCTTTCAAACTTAAAAACATTTTCAAAAGATCAATACTTTGTATACATTCTTACGAACGAGAATCATTACAAAGTTTGCCTAAACGATGACGCCTTTTCAAAATACTTTCAAAAATCACGCAAAGCACATTTTCAAACAAAAGCAAGTGATCTAGCAAGTAACTAAGAGCCCATGGAAAACCATGGATGAAAAGGGTGCTAATACCTTCCATTTTCATAATCTACCCCTCGAACTCAAGAAACAATCTCAAAGGTCTTTCCTGTGCTTTTTCACCTTTCCTTTTGGATAAAAGAAAAGTCGGTGGCGACTCTTGCAAACCGCAATATTTGCGATCAAACGCAAAACACCCAAGTCAATTCTCCCACCATATCACAAGTAGCAACCAAAATAAATGGTCTACATCAATAATAATTCGTACACGGATAATATAACAGAATAAAGCAAGAAAAATACGAAGGTTTGTTTATCCAGTTCGACCAAACAATCTACTCTGGGGAGAGAACAACTCTCTAATTTACTATATTCATAAAGTTGTTACAAGAGATTACATATGAGTTACAAGAAAATAGCCTTCACCTTTAGGTTCCCAAGAACAACCCTGAAGGCTCTCAAGAATTACCCTATTTTCTAACCAAGTGTTTCTCAACCTCTTCAACCTTCAATATATGAATAACTCAAACCCTAGGTGTAAACAAGTGTTTCCCAATTTTCAATAACCTTAGATAACCCCAAAGATTTCCAAAACTCTTGCCTTTCTAAGGTTTCCCTTGAGAATAGCCAAAACTTTACGTTATGTCTTACCCTTGTTCTCCCTTGTTGTTGTAAGCTCTAAGATTGTTACACTTGCAAACATATACGACATGCATATTTATAATAGCAAATACCCAATAACTAGGGTCCAAAATCACAATCCAATCACACATGGATTCATGGATCAAATCGAAAGAGCCTCAAACACGCAAAACAAGAAATTATCGAAAAATTCTGAAAAAGTCGAAATCGATCGCCCACGTACGGACCACCACGATCGCCCGACTCCGGTCGTACGGACCGCTGCCGCCGCCGTTGCCTGGCCACCGGCCCCTTCTGGCTGACTTTTCCAATTTTTCAATTTTTCAACTTTTTTATCAACTTTCTAAAACTTTCGATTTTCGTGATATATGCAATCTCCAAAATATGTTTTCTTTCTCTTAATCAACAATAATTTTAAGACATATTTCAATAATACATAATTTCATGTTCAATATGCCATGTAAAAAAACATTGAAATTTTTCAAACATTGAAATTAATAACTACACCCTAGTAGATATGATAAGAATGTTACTTCAATCTATTCTTTCTTGTATTATACAAGTTATTGAAATGAATTGATTTTACTTTTGTATAAGAATGTGCCTTTTCCTATTATCTAGTACAACTCTTATTTCTTTTTTTTTTTAAAAACAACTGGAAATAAATTACAAATTATTGTGGAAAAATTTCAACTATACTTTCTCTTTAAGACTATGTTTGGATATCATGAAATAGAGGGAGCAGAGCGGAGTGAGATGGAGTGAAATAGAGCGGAGCGGAACGAAGATATTATTTTATTATTTGGAAATTTTAGAACAGAATAAGGTAATTTATTCATTCCACCTAAATCGGAGAGAGAAAATATAGTGGTAATTGATGTAATGAAATGAACTTTATACCACTCTATTAGAGTCCGCTCTATCTATTTTTAAATTATCCAAATAATAGAATATCATTTAATTTCATCTCATTCCACTCCGTTCCATCCGATTTCGTCAATCCAATCAAATAAATATTTTATATTTTATTTTCAAATTCCTTTTCAATACAAACAAAACATCATAATAATTAAATAAAGAAACTGCAAGAAACTGCATCAAGTGATGAATACATAATCAACTCAAGAAACTGCATTACCATGATCCTCAATTTAAGCAGAGGTAATGTGGAAGTGATTAATTCTTAATAATAAACATGTTCATGATCATCATGATGAGCTACAAAACAAGACAATAAATAAAGAATGATGCTGGATGTAGGAAAAGTTGACAGCTAACTAAAGCAACATCTTATACATGACCTCTTGTCTTGTTTTATTTTACATAAGAATAATAGTTAATGGTATGCATCACATTCTTTCTTGGTCACAACCATGTGCATGGATTATAAAGTAGTTGATAAAACAGCTACAATATTTAAAGAAACCTTATTAAAATTAGTATACTATAAAGTGCAATAATAAAGTTACATGTAGAGTGAAAGATGCCTAGAATCTATCTCTCACAAAAAACAATTTTTTAAATGATATAGTTTAGAAAAAATTACACTCACATCAAATTAACTTTTATTTTGATAAATTTCCAGGGAGGTGAATATAAATTTCTCTATAATTTATATACATCGTATAAAATAAATTTACAATGTCAATCAATTATAATCATTATAATATTAAAATGTTTGATCTTGTCAGAGATTGAACTCTGAAATTTCAACTTTTTAAATTCTTAGTTCAACTAATTGAAATCAATAGAGCTAATACTTTCCTACTCTATTATAAAAAAAATGGTGTTTACTTCTTTAAAGTTGTGGCTCCATGTGTCATGAAACAAATGGAATAACTTAAAATCAGTGCAATGAATTCCACTTAAGAGTGCAACTCTAATGATCATAGCCTCAAATATGGAGGTGTGGACAGTGCCATGAGATTCTGTTATACTTTCCTTTCTGCATCAATCATAATAGAAGGGTTCAAATTTTTTAAGCCATCCTAAAGAGACATTGAAATGTGGTCCAAAAAGCAAATACATTATAAAGTAGTACATACCTTTGTTTTGATCTTGCAATTTGGCCATTTGTTTAATAGATAAAAGTGGCTATGACTTCATTAAATTATTACATATAGGATATTAAAATAAATCCTTGGTAAATACTATATATAATATTTATGTAGATGATAATATATAATAAAATTTTGTCGCCTCCGCCACTAAGCCTTCAAAAATTAATGCATTTTAATTTTTAAGGTAATGTAAAATATGAAGCTTGCCACCTCAGAAAGACATTTCTAATACAATTGTTAAGGAAGTGGTTGTAAATTGTAATACAACAAAGATTAATTATTTCTGAAGCACGGACACAAACACAAATATCGACCACATTACCAATATTAATATGTAGACATTGATAATAATTTAAAAAATGAATAAATTAAACGTAGTTATAAATGTTGACATTGTTTTCATACAGACACAAATATATATATACATATTTTTTTAGAGGTGTCAGTGCTACGTAATTAATTGTGATGTTAATGTTTAATACCTTCAGCTGACTAAAAAAAGCATGATCTGTCAGATTCCAATTGGCTGTTAAAGAAAAGTGTGAATTAGAATGCAAGCATAATATAATATTTTAGCAGAAAATGAAATTGTTATAAAGAAATAAAAACCTGTCAAATGAAACACAAAGTAGGTTCCTTTCAAATGTCAACATGAGGTGTGTGTCTTATAGCTTTAAGGAAAATAATTTGGTGTAGTGACATTTGAATCAATTCTATCTGTCACTGCTTTTTTGTTATCTCATAATTCATTGTATAAAGAATCTTATGGAAGATACATTTCCCAAGATGGAAATCTTTGCACAAAAGGAATTACCAACTTGTGTGCAAGAAATAGTAACAACAAAAGAATCCAAGTATTTGGAAGATACAATTATAAGAAGAGGCTCTTATTCTTTCACTTCTTCATCAATATCATCATCATCATCACAAAACTTTTTCTGGTGTGCTTCAAATTCCACTTCAATGAAACAAGAGGTAGCACCTTTAGGTCTAACCACTTCTAATGTCTTTGCCTCAGATATTAAACATGGTTTTGTTCCTTTAAATCTCTTGGAAACTCTCCCGACATTGAGCGTTAATCCAGTGTTTGATGAGACAACAGAATCTATAGATTCTTCTGATACACCGAAGTATCCGAATTTGAGTTTGTTTTTGCAGGAACCATCCATGCTATACTCATCAACATCACATATCAAAAGTAATGAAGTCATGTCAACAATCTCGCATCCAACTTATCATGTGCCCCAATTTGGCCTAACTCAACATCAACAAAAGATTGGTTATAATAAGAATATGATGGCAAATCTACAATCCAAGTCTTTCAATGAAAATTGGTTGAGTGCCACAAAGACTCAACCTTTGAAATATAGTGGAAGAGGGAAGGTTTTCAAAGGGGTGAGGCAGAGACATTGGGGGAAATGGGTTGCTGAAATTAGGCTACCAAGAAACAGGACTAGAGTTTGGTTAGGGACATTTGACACAGCTGAAGATGCTGCAATTGCATATGATACAGCAGCATATATACTAAGAGGTGAATGTGCTCAGTTGAATTTTCCTGATTTAAAGGATGTGATTCAAGCAAATTCGTTGAATGGAACAACTGCTTCACTTGTTGAGGCAAAACTTCAAGCAATATCACAACAAGGTGTTTCTTCTTCTTCTCATAGAAAGCAAGGTAATTCAGGAGCTAGATCAAATGATAAGCTTGTTGATGAGATTGAAAATAGAAAGGATGAAAGAATGAAGGAGTTGAAGCTTGGAGGTGACTCAAATGAGAGAAGCAAAAGTATGCAGAATGAGATATGCGATGTGGAAACTGTTCAGTTAAGTAGAATGCCATCTTTAGATATGGATATCATTTGGAATGAACTTCTAGTTTCTGGCTCATGAACAAATTATTACTTTGAAAGGATGCATATAATCAATATATCACTTATACTTCATAGCCATCCAATGTCTAACATGTGTCAGTGTAGACACTACTTCCACAACACCGAAACATGTAGTTATATTCAATAACTTTGATTTCTTTTATTATTTGTACGTAAATCGTGTTTGGTATTCATGTTTGTGTTAGTGCTTTATAGTATATTAATTTTTATTTTCTTTACAATTGACATTGTCCATATCAGATACATATAGTTATATCTAATATCTTCATTTTCTTAATATTGTTTGTGTTTATGTTAAATTTCACGAGGAGAAAGAGAAATTAGTTAACCTTGGGAATAGCAAAATCATATATGAAAATAACAAACTTGAAAAACAATTATGAAATTGTTATTAAGTAGTTATTGTTAGTTGAGTTGTTATATAAGTAAAATTGCATATTGTAAGTAATCTCATTTTGTGAGTAATGAAAGCTTATGCATCATTGTTATTTCTCTATTTCAATTCTTCTCCATGTTTAATTTGAGTTTTAACATTGTATCATCGACCTCTAATTAAGCTTTAACTGTTGCATTCGTATAATTGTGCTCACCAATCTTCGTTTTTTCTTTATCTTTCATCTCGATTCCTTTGATTTTTTTCCTCCATTTTTTCGTCTTCATCTCAACATGTTTGTTGCAAGCTCTACCAATAGTATCAATGGCATATCATCTTCACATACCAACAAGGGTTATCAAATTGATACCCTTAATCCATATTTCATGCACTCAAAATGAAAATTCAGCTTTCCTTCTTGTTTCCCCATTACTCTCAAGCAACAGTTATCATTCTTGTTCTCGTTCTATGACTATGACTCTTAGATCCAAGAATAAATTACACTTCATCAATGGTGTTTTTCCTCGACCATCTAATGAAGAGCACAACTATATCGCTTGAGATAGGTGCAACACCATGATTATGTCATGGATAAACAATTTGGTTGGATCTGAAATTGCTCAAAGCATTTTGTGGATGGAAAATGAAGTTGAGTTGTGGAATGAATTGAAGGATCATTTTACCAAGGATATGTTTTCATAATTTCAGATATTCAAGAAGAAATTTTCACCTTGAAGCAAGGGGATTTTTCTATCTCTTTTTATTGCATAAAACTTAAGAAGTTGTGACAAGAATTGGACAATTCTCGTCCTACTCCTAAATGTACTTGTGATATTTCTTGTCAAGCAATCGCCAAGATTCATGCTTACAAAGATTGAGAACAAGTCATCAAATTTCTAAAAGGCTTAAATGATCAATATTTTTCAACTAGGTCACATATCATGTTGATGGATCCTCTTCCAAATATCTACAGAGTTTACTTGTTACTTGTTCAACAAGAAAGATAAGCTGCCATACCACTTGATGAATCCAAAGTTCTTGCTTTTCTCAATTAGAATCAGAGTTCACAACATAAAGGAAATCCAAGTTCTCGTGGTAGAGGCACAAGAGCTGGAAAATTTCATGGTGGAAGAGCTAGAGGCACACGAATATGCACTCATTGTGGGATGACAAATCATACCATCGGTTCTTGCTTCAAAAAATATGGATTTCCTCCTTATTGGCAGCAGGATGGTGCAGTTAACAATTGTGTAACTGTAGAAGGACATGCAGATGAATCTTAAGCTGAATTCAATGAAGAGAATGAAAAAGATCATGGTTCTTTGGCTTTCCCACCAGATCAGCACAAGGCTTTGTTATAACTTCTCTAAATATTATCCCTTATACACCTAAAGTTGAAAATTTTATTTTAAACTGATGCAATTGACCAAGTGTGCTACACCACAAAAACATTTGTGCTTGAATATAATCAAACCTATAACCATCTAATTACCCAATGGAGCTTTAGTGACCACTTATTTTTGCAGGAACCATCAAATTTGATTATTCTTTTGATATATTAGATATGTTATACATGCCTAACTTTGATTTTAATCTCATTTATGTTTCTAAGCTGACCCAAACACTTAATTATCAACTAAGTTTTAATGACATTGATTGTATAATACATAATACATGCTCCAAGAAGATGACTGACACAACTAAGATGAGTTGTGGATTTCATCTCTTAACATCTCCATATGGTACCTTGAACTATACACCACCAAATCACCTCATTAATTTCATACATCCTCACACATTTGATACACCTAGAAATTGCATTCTTTAGCGTTTATGATTTGGTCATACTTCAAATGAAAAATTGCTTGAGATTAATAAACATTTTCCTTTTGTTAAGATTGTTAATCATTCATCTTCTTGTGACATATGATTTTATGCTAATCAAAAGAGACTACCTTTCTATCATAGTTTTCAAATATATAATTATGTTTTTGATTTAGCTCATATGGATATTTGCGGCCCCTATCCAAATCATTCATGATAGGATATATATTTCTTGACTGTAGTTGATGGAAAAAGTAGGTTTACATGGCTTTTCCTCATGAGATTGAAGTCTGAAACTTCATACCTCATTAATTCATTTGTCTCAATGGTCAACTCTCAATTCAATATTCAGATAAAGTGCATTAGATCAGACACTAGAAATGAGTTTATGCTTCAAAAAGTTTACAATAAACTAGGTATAATCCATCAAACATCTTGTGTTGGTACTCCTCAACAAAATGGTATTGTTGGGAGGAAGCACCAACACATTATTGGCATAACCAAAGCCATTTTATATCAAGCTCATTTACCTCAAATTTTTTGGGCTCATGCAGTTTGTCATGCTGTCCACATTACTAATAAATTACCCACACTTTTCTTAAAACACGGGTCATCTTATCAAGTTTTATACAATAAACTTCCTGAGATAACAACTTTTAAGGTTTTTGGTTCATTGCGTTTTCATCCACTTTAAAAACAAATAAAAAGAAATTGGACTCTAGGTCTAGAAAATGCATATATTTAGGATATAAAGTTGAGGGTTAAGGGTCACATCCTATATGATTTACAATGCAGAGAAATTTTTGTTTAAAGAGATATTGTATTTTTTTTAAACATTTTCCTTACAAGCAAAATTCATCTGAAGATAATGTATCTCAAACATTTCAACCAAAAAAATCAACACAGACCTGGACACACACTCCCAATCAACTGTCTTGATATGCCTGAAAATTAAACATCCCTTTTACATGATCCTCTTGATTTAATTGTTGAAACATCACCACTAATTACGTTTAAAAATTCTAATCATATGCCAAATACCAATCACATTCCATGAGTTATTCCTCATATCATAAAATCAACCAAACATGTCAAACCTCCATCTTATATACAAGATTACCATTGTAATCTAATATACAATACAATCCACAATTCATAAGAATCTCTAACCAATTCCTCCTCTCCATGTAAGTGTCCTTTATCATCATTCCTTTCATATTATTTATTCTCTTCTGTACGCAAACAATTCATCTTAAATGTGTCAACTCTTTCTAAACCTAAGTCATATGGTACTGCTACATGTGATGACAATTTGAGGGATGATATCAAAACTGAGTTGAGTTTTATGATGAAAACAAACACTTGGAATCTTGTTCCTTTAACTTCACACAAGAAAGCTATTGGATGCAAATGGGTGTTCAAACTAAAATTGCAAGCCAATGGTATAGTTGAGAGATATAAGGCGATATTAACTACCAAGGATTTTGCACAAACTAAAGGACTTCACTATATGAATACCTTTAGTCCTGTAGTAAAAATTACTACAATTCAAGTCCTTGTGACAATTGCAATAATTCAAAGTTGACCACTCTTTCAACTTGATCTCAACACAAATTTTCTTCATGGTGATCTCAATGAAGAAGTTTATATGAAGCCTCCTCCAGGACTTGACTTGCCACATACTGATCTTGTATGCAAATTGTATAGGTCTTTATGAAGCAAGCAAACAAGCAATGGAACACAAAGCTCATTGATACACTCATTTCTTTAGGTTATACTGAATCCAAGGATGATTACTCACTATTCACAAAGAAATACCATAAAGGTTTCACATTCATCCTTGTATATGTGGATGATTTGGTCTTAAGTGGGTCTGATCTTAAAGAAATTACACAAATTAAGACTATTTCGAATGACAAGTTTAACATAAAAGACTTAGGATTTTTGAAATACTTCCTAGATTTTGAAGTAGCTATAACACAAGATGGAATCTCTCTTAGCCAAATAAAGTATGATTTAGATTTAATCTATGATGCATGATTAATTGGAACCAAGCCTTGTACTACACCAATGCAACCTCATCTACAACTTCACAAAACTAATGGTTGACCTCTATCTAAACCTACTGCATACATGAGATTAATTGGAAGACTGTTGTATCTCACTCATTCCAGACCCGAGGTTGCCTATGCAATAAATAAAATTAGTTAGTTTCTTGATGATTCTACTGGTAAGCATATGTTGGTAGGCCTCCATTTGCTAAGATAACTAAAAAATCAAATACAAGGACTATTTTTTAGCTCATCATCCACACTTTGCCTCAAAGGTTTCTCTAATTCTGATTAGGGCATGTCTTGACACTAGAAGATAAATAATAGGCGTATGTTTCTTCCTTGGAAAGTAACTAGTAAGTTGGATTAGCAAGAAATAAGTTGTTGTATCTAAATCATCATCAGTGATAGAGTATATAGCATTGGTTAAACAACTTGTGAAGAATAATGACTTCTCTACTTGCTTAGTAACTTTGAGATACCACATCAATTGCCAATCATTATCTAATATGAGAATAAATATTCTTCGCACATTGCCGCCAATCTAGTATTCCATGAAAGAGCCAAGCATATTGAAATAAATTGCCATGTAGTTAGAAACAAGATTCTAACACAAGTTGTGCATTTGATGCTTATAGCTTCAAAGGAGAAGGTTGCACACATCCTCACAAAATCATTGCACCTGGGGTCCATTCATAAATCTACAAGCCAAGATAGGAATAATTGACATACATTCTAGTTTGAGTGGGG